AATGAAGGATCTCGCAAAACGTTACTTGTCAGTACTAACCAATCTAATAAGGAGGTCCAAAAAACTATTATGGAAACATATTTCATGACATAAAAGGTGATATGAAAAAGACTTGGAAAAGCTTATCTGAAATTCTAGGATCAAAAAAGCTGTCACAAAACAGAATGATTACCTTAACTAAACCAGACGAACCTTTCCTTCAGCCAGCAGATACTGACAACAAGTTTAATGTCTTTTTCTCTACTGTAGGAACAAAACTAGCAAGTAAAATCCCAAGCACAAACATTCAACCAAAAGACTACCTCACTGGCAACTACCCAAATACTCTCTTTTTAGCCCCAACAAACCCTACTGAAATCTCGCTTATCATCAGAGCACTAAAGAACAAGACAGGAGACCTAAATAACTTACCACCACTCATGTGTTGTTACCAATTAGTGCAACTCTTTTTAACAAATCCATTGAATCTTCAACCTTCCCATCCATACTCAAGACAGAAAGAGTCACCCTGATACTCAAAGGAGGTGATCCAACTGAATTGGACAGATATAGGCCTATATCAAACCTGCCCCTACTATCTAAAATCTTTGAAAAAGTAATTCACAAACAAGTCTACTCCTACTTTGTGTCCCACAACATACTCAACCCTTGTCAGTTTGAGTTCAGACTGAAAATACTAATGATGCTATTATACATATGATTGAACTAATATATTCTGCCTTGAGAACAGTGAATTTTTCCTGGGACATTTCATAGACTTATGAAAAGCTTTTGATACAGTTGACCATGACCTTTTGCACCAAAAACTCAAACATTATGGGGTCAGAGGACACCCTCTTATCTTAACAATAGAACCCACTATACAGTGGAACCTCTACTTGCGAGTTTAATCCATTCCATGACCTTGCTCGCAACTGGATTTGCTTGTTTGCATAGTCAATTTCCCTCATTTAAATTAACTGAAATGCAATTAATCCGTTCCAGTGGAATTCTGTACTTCAATAATTTCGCTAATATCAACTCTACGGCTTATTTATCTATCTCACTTCATCTAATATGACATTAATAAACTATAAATAACATAAATTAATAAAATATGTCATTCATGTGGTGGTATGGGCGGTGGACAAGAGTTTGTCTGGAGACCAGGCAAAATACTTCGTGAATAATTTTGCTAATATCATCTATAAGGCTTATTTATCCATCACAATTCATCTCAATATGACATAAACAATATAAATAACATAGAAACATGATGTATACTCTAGAATGAATAAAATATGTCATGTAACAGGTGGAGGCGGCCACATCCGCTCCCTCTTGTGGTAAACACTGCCATCTAGCGACGGCCTTTTGAAGCCATCTATTATAATTATTATATGTTGTACATTATTATATATGTATTATTATTAAACATATTATATTGTTGTATTATATTATTATAAGTATTCTTCTTTCAAAACAGCGTATCCCGGGTGGGTGGCCAAAAGGAAAAACAAGTTTCTCCTTTAATTAGATGATTACAGGAGAAGGGTTATACCTTGCTCTGGCAATTAATTTTACAACAGCATCTATAAGGAAAATTCTGTATCCCACATTCCCATGGAGATAAGAGAATAAACAAAAAAGAGCAGTAGAAAATAGAAGTAAACCTAGAGGGGTGATATAAAATATGCTTGAAACAGTATGTGTAGGGCTAAGGTGCAGCAGTAGCCGTCGAAACCTTGCTTTATGGGAAAAACCCCAGCGATGCCTACCATCGTTAAAAATTACAGTTTACGTATTACATATTGGCATGACGGTAGTTAACTTTGTGGATTGCTGTTACCTATATATAATTATACGTATTATATACATATTATTATTATTATTATTATTAATATTGTAATTTTTATTCACACAAAAAATATAAGATTTACTGTTATTCCTTATTGCAATTATTGTATAAATGTCAACCCATTGACGACTGCATATTGGAGTGGACAGTGACGTCATTTGTTTACTCTGGAACAGCCAAGCAATGGACCATTTCTCCTAGGTTGAGCTCAATTTCAAGGCACTTTTTGTCATGAAAGCAATCAAAATCATATCTATTTCTGTAATATATCTTCCATTCTATCCAATGAGACCAAAAAAACGAGAATAAACCATAAAAACCATTCGAAATTACCGCTAAGGGGTGGCTAATTGCTGAGAAGTGAACTCCATTATTTATGCTTAGATTTCTTTCATTTTTGGTGTATGCTAAGAAGCATCTTTCCATCATACATTGCCCAAGTTTCAATAAGATAGTCCAACAAACAAATAAGATACAATTCCCGAGATCAGGAGCAAGAGCCCCTCACCAGTGTCAAGGAACATGCCTTGAGGTCTGCTCACTTATGGAAATTTTGCTCGCATATGGAAGGAAAAAATCGACCCATCGACTGCTCGTATTTGGAAAAACTCGCACGTGGACACGCTCACAAGTAGAGGTTCCACT